CAATAAATCTATCACCGTACAAAGTTATTACAATATTATTGACTATATGCCCTATGCTGTATATTACATACTTATGACTTAGTTTATAACTGGAAGTTTGTACTTCTTAATCTTCTCTCTTTTTGCTCATCCTCTCACCCAATTTCCCTTTAGCAAACATCAGTTTGTTCTCCGTATTTATGAGTTTGTTTCTGCTTACTTTTATTGTGAACAATGCTGCTGTTGGTGGGGTTTGGCTATCATTGTATATATTGCAAGTATTTTTTCTAATTAGTATTTTCTGTTTTCATTGGAGGAAAACCCAGAAGTGGAATTACTGGGTCACATGGTAGTTCTATTTTTAATTTTTTTGAGAAATCGCCAGACTGTTTTATAGTAGGTGCACTAGTTTATAACCCCACCAACAATGCACGGGAGGATTCCCTTTTCTCCACATCCTCACCAACAATAGCCCTAGAGGCCTGGTGCATGAAATTTGTGCACGTGTGTGTGTGTGTGTGTGTGTGTGCACACGCACATGCGTGTGTGTGTGTATTCATCAGCCAAGCCTGCACCCTCTCCAGTCTGGACTGCTGGCTCCCAAACACTTGGCTGCCTGCCTGCCTGATTGCCCTTAACCACTTCTGCCTGCCAGCCTGATCAATGCCTAACTGCTCCCTGCCAGCCTGATTGCTTCTAACTGCCCTCCCCTGCTGGCCTGGTCACCCGTAACTGCCCTCCCCTGCTGGCCTGGTCCTCCCCAACTGCCCTCCCCTGCAGGCCTGATCACCCCCACCTGCCCTCCCCTGCAGGCCTGGTCGCCCCCAACTGCCCTCCCCTGCAGGCCATCTTGTGGCCACATGGGGGTGGCCATCTTGTGTGTTGGAGTGATGGTCAATTTGCATACTGGTCATGACTAATTAGCCTACCAGGGCTAATTACCATATCCCTCTTATATTGTGGGAGTGATGGTCAATTTGCATGCTGATTGTGACTAGCGTATCCAGTCGTGGCTAATTAGCATATTTTAGCTAATTAGCATATCCCTCTCATACAGGATTCTGATCATTGTAAGGTAATAATCTCTTTGTGGTTTTGATTTACATTTCCCTAATGATTTAGTGATTAGAGGCCCGGTGAACGAAATTCGTGCGGGGGAGGGGTCCCCTCAGCCCAGCCTGCACCCTCTCCAATGTGGGACCTCTCAGGGGATGTCTGACTGCCGGTTTAGGCCCTATCCTGGCAGTCGGACATCCCTCTCACAATCCTGGACTGCTGGCTCCTAATCGCTCACCTGCCTGCCTGGTTGCCCCTAACTGCCCCCCCTGCTGACCTGCTAGTCACCCCTCACCACCCCCCCTGCCAGCCTAATCTTCCCCAACTGACCCCCTGCCAGCCCGGTTACCCCACACAGCCTGCTTGTTCAGTTGTTTGGTCGTCTCTCACTATACTGGCCAAGTCCGCCCCTCACTGCCCCCCCGCCAGCCTGGTCACCCCACACAGCCTGCTTGTTCAGTAGTTCAGTCATCCCTCACTAACCCCCCTACTGGCCTGGTCGCCCCATGCAGCCTGCTTGTTCAGTCATTTGGTCGTCCCTCACTAACCCCTCTGCCAGGCTGGTTGTAGGCAGCCATACTGTGAGGGTGTGAGGGTTAATTTGCATATTACCTCTTTATTATATAGGACTAGAGGCCCGGGGCACAAAAATTTGTGCACTCGGAGGGAAGAGGGGGTCCCTCAGCCCGCTGGGAGAGAAAG